TCCTGATGGGCCCAATGGGTCCATCGAGGTACCAGAGATCTCACCAGTCATAACCTCTAGGGGATAACCTCCTTCCGCCATAGGAGAAGGGTGAGAACGCTGAGTACATGAAGGAGGAGGAGAGGGAGGAGGAGGAGGAGAAGGAGAAGCAGGAACAACAACGACAGGAGGAGGAGGAAGAGGAAGAACGACAGCAGGAGGACGAGGAGAATGAGGAGATTAAGGAGGAGGAGGATGGGGACGAGGGAGAGGAGAATTGGCAACAGTGGTGGTGGCAAGAGGAGGAGGAGGAGGAGGAGGGAAGTAAAAAACAGAAACAGGAGCAGGAGCAGGAGCAGCAGCATGGGAGGACGAGAAGGAGGAGGAAGAGGAATATGAGGAGGAATAAGAGGAGTAGGAGGAGAAACAAGAGAATCGACGTCAGCGGTTGCAATAGCAGCAAGAGACCGAGGACGAGTAAAACGAAGGGAGTAGGAGGCGGCTGGAGGTGCTACCACTGGCGCCGATGCAAGAGTGGGTAGAGATGACGCTCTTTTCGGAACTTGAGCCTGGGGTCCCGGAGCTAGGTTTATCTCCTTCCACGACCTCAGTGTACGGCCCCCTCTCCCCATCCCGATCCCGACACCATCATCCTTTCGTCTCTCAGCTGTTGATTCGCACGCTCCGGCAGTAGACGAGGGTTGTTGAACAGCAGGAGGACCGATTCTTGCGGTCACTACACCTTCTCTCCCTTCGTCTACCAGTGGATGACTTGCAGTCTCTTCTGCTCCCGCCTCCTTCGTCCTCCTCCCAGCTCTGTCCTCTCTTCGTCGGGTCTCGACCTCGTGGGATAGTTATGACGCACTAAGCTTGGTCTTCCACTGACCCGGTGAAGCACGAGCGACTCTTGCACACAAACCACCTCCTCCTCCACCACCAGCCGACCCATCGCACGCGGTATGTCGTTGATCACTTAACTTTTATTCAAAATTCTCTCTCTCTCGTTCAGAGTCTCTCTGAGAGAGAGAAAGAGAGAGAGAGAGAGAGAGAGAGAGAGAGAGAGAGAGAGAGAGAGAGAGAGAGAAAAGAGTCGCCGGAAGAGCATGAAGAAGAGGAGCACGATCCGTCCTGTCATCGGGGACATGCTAATCTTCTCTGCATCGATCCATGTTTAACGGAGTGAAAAAA